TTCCGGAGCAAACACGTCAGCCAGACAAAAGCCCTTTTCTGCCAGTTTAAAACCCTCCACCTCACGCTTTACTACCTTGAGCCAAAATAAGACAAGGGCCTATTCTTCAGAGCAGATGGGAGGGGTGGGGCGTGGCAGAGCGGCTCCCCCGCTCAAAGGACACACCAGTGGGGCAGAAGCTAAGGCCGAATGGGCCCCGATTGGCAGTATCTAACCCCCATGGGAAGCTGGATCCCCAGAAAACATGTTCGTATTTTTGGACATGTGACAAAGGCCAGACACGAGGACCTCAGTGCCCTTCCTTGGGGCGTGCACACCCAGGGCAGGCTGAGCCTCCTCGCCAAGGCTGCCAGCTTCGCTTCCCCTCCAAGGGAGGAGGAAGACCGATGGAGGACCCCCAGGATCCTGACGATCAGGGAGACGCTCCACCTTTCCCTTGCCATCTCTTTAGGGACTTCGGGCCCTTCTAGTCAAAACTGAGGAGTACCTGGGTGGTGCAAACGGTTAAGCGCTCGACTACGAGCCAAAAGGTCGGCTGTTCAAACCCAGCTAGCGGCGCCTTGGAAGAAAAGCTTGGCGATCAGCTTCTGAAAGGTCACAGCCATTGAAAACCCCATGGAGCGGTTCTATTCTGCTATTCTGCACACACGGGGTTTCCAGGAGTCAGAATCGACTCAACAGCAGCTAAAAATAACACAGCCAGAACCAGAACTAAAATCCCCATCCAGTCCAGGTCATGCTGATTTTTACCACAGTCCAACCTATGATATGAAGTGACCGCGTGGGATATTTGCAAACAAAGGGACAAGCTTTCTCCTGCCTGTGACCAAAATTACATTGCTGGGGAGATAACCCAGATTCCTATAGAGTTTTGACTCCAGGTGGGTGGAAAAGTTTAGGTGTTATTCACCTATTGAAACATAATTTAAATAGAAATTTTCTGGATGTGGCATTTCAGGGCTATTCGATTATAACGAGCCAATTTCCTCACCAGGTAAGAGACTCATTGTCTCTCTGGAAATGGCTGGAACTACGGATAAATTTTCCAAGCCACAGCTTCAAGCTTTAGAGATGCTTGGCAGAGTTGTGAGAAACAGAACTGAGTCGATGTCTTTGAACTTTCCCCAGAGACTGCAGGCTTCTAGAAGGTGGGGCCAGCCTTCACCTATTTTACGACCTTGCATTCTCTGAAAGTGGACTTGATCAATGTCATTTTGCCATCAGCATGGTGTCCCTGTCAGAG